ACAAATTTTCTTCAAATGCATTACAGAAAAAGCGGCAAAGCTAATTCTTTATTTTCTCCAATACTATTTACACAAGATTGTCTAACAATCCTGTTTAAATTTTAATAATCTGTTTCCAGTCAGTGAATTACATGATGTGTTCTCATTTCCTTAGGTTCCACTGTCCTTCCAGGGAGCCCTCTTTGGACTTTGATGTGATCCTTCCTTTGGGTGATGATGTCCAGCTGTCTGTGGCAGAATATAGAAATAAATTATATGAGGTACTTTCATCCTATTTTCCCAACTCCTAATCCTTCAGGTAACCTGCCATTCTTGCACATACTTAACAAATTCTGTCATTGTCTTGTCTTTGTATTCCCCTGGGCTTTCCATACCTGCTGGCACCATTACACCTGGGTGTTTGATCAGTTCCATACTGTCCTAATCTTTGAGAGACCTTTGCATGTAAAATTCCCACAGGGCAAAGAAAAATCTCTGAAACATGATGTCTGAGAAAGATGCACAGAATGGTTTGTGTTGAAAGGTACTTTAAAGATCATCTAGTTCCAAAATTATACTTGTTACTTACTCTGTAAAATAAAATTGCAGATATTTTTAAGTATTCCTCTGTGTTTTGATGTTTTATTTTTCTGCTGTATTGTGGTGTTAAGTCTAAATAGCTTTTCTGTTCTGCAGATGATCCTTGAAAAGAAGTCAAAGAGCTTTCCAAAGGAGCAAGGGCAGGGAGAAAATACTCAGCTGAGCCAGTCTGAGTCCAGCACACTTCTGCCAGGTTTCAGCTCAGTGGCTGTACCCACCAGGAAAGGCCAGGAAGACCCAACACCCCCTCTGCTAAACCCTTCACATGTGCATCCTGGAGTCACAGCTGGGGTCCAGGCAGCAGGGTCCAGCCAGAGCAAGGATCAGGCCAGAGCTGTCTATCAGAGATCACAGATGGGTGTGATGGTATACAACCCCATCACACACACCACTGTGCAGAGTGGGTACCACCCTCCTACACCAGGTGTAACCCACCTGGTGTTGGTGTGGGGAGCAGTGAATGAGTGCTGTAAAAGAAATGAAGGGAATCTGCATGGTAAAATGAGGGGCTGGAAGTGTGGGAGGGAAATGACATAAGAACAAAACACTGTTGAATGAGTGTCGAGTGTGGGACTGTCCCTGCCTCAGTCAATGTCTTCTGTGTTCTTCTGATTTTCCTGCTTTCTCTCATGTTTTTCCTTCTGCAGGAAATGCAAATCCTGGTGCTGGGATCAGGAACTGTTCTGCACCACCTCAACAGTCCAGAATCTCCAACAATGAGAAACTGGGGAGACAAATCACATGGCCAATCACTCGTCTCTCTCCTACAGGTGTGCAGAACCTTTACAATGTGAGTAGCTTAATTTCTAGCCCTTATCTGTGGTAACCTGGGTCACAGCAACTCCCTGCAGTGCTCCAGGCAGAGTGGCTGGAAAGCTGGAAAAGGTAACCCACTGGTGCTGATGCGAGCAGATGAACATGAGCCTAGGGGTGCCAAGGTGGGCAAGAGGCCAGTGGCACCTGGCTTGTAGCAGCCACGGAGTGGCCAGACACCCAGGGCAGTACCTCTCCCCTATGCTAGACACTGCTGAGGGACCTCCAGTCCTGGGGGCAAGTTTGGGATCTTCACAACAGGAAAGGAGGGCCCCATTGAGGGGCTGGAGTGTGTCCAGAGAAGGGAACAGAGCTGGGGGAGGGTCTGGAGCAGCAGCAGCAGCTGTAGAGAGGAGGCAGCACAGGAAGGACCTTCTCACTCTCTGCAGCTCCCTGACAGGAGAGTGCAGCCAGGGGGGGGATCAGGATCTGTTCCCAGGAGACAAGTGACAGAATGAAACGGCCTCAAGTGCTTCCAGGAGAGGTTGAGGTTGGATATTGGAAAAATCTCTCCTGCAAAAGGCTGTGCAGCTCTGGAACAGACTGCCCCAGGGCAGGGGGAAGTCCCCATCCCTGGGGGGATTTAACAGCCACGTGGACGTGGCACCTGGGGACAGGGGTCAGTGGTGGCCTTGGCAGTGCTGGGGAGCTGCTGGACTCCACAGCCTCAGAGGGCTTTTCCACCTAAGTGATTCTCTGATTTCATGATTCTGTGGATCTAATGGGTTGCTGTTGCTGAGCTGTGAGGGTGTCAGTCCTGTCCTCTCTGCTTCTCCCTCTTCCCTGATTTTGGCCATGCTTCCTTGGAAAAATCCTTCCCCTCACTGGGTTCTTTAATGACCTCCTGCTCCTGCTTTTTTCCTTCCTGAGCTGGCTGTCTGCTGCCTGGTGACTGCTGGCACCTGCAGAGCTGATGGAGGAAGCTTATGACAGAGGAAGAGTGTGGAAGGAGGCAGCACAGATTCACAGAATCACAGACTGCTTGGGTTGGAAGGGACCTAAAAACTCATCTCGTTCCACCCCTCTGCCATGGTCAGGGACACCTTCCAGTAGTCCAGGTTATCAGAAACCTTCAAGCATTTCTAGTAGTACACTTGTAGCCCTCCTTTCAGCCCCTCTGATTTGGAATCCCTTCCAAAATGTTTTGAGAGAAAGAGAAGCCATTAATTCTCCAAGATAGGATTGTGGAGCTTGCTGCACATGTAGGTTTACACATGACCAATGCATTTGGAAGGATCTGTAGAGAATTGTGACCAATTTTCTATGACAAGAAGAGCAGAAGAGGGAAAAGATCAGCCTACACCTGCCCTGAGTTTGTGTTTGTTTCCTGAGAGGATAATGCTGACCAAAGACAAACCTGTGTCCTGTTTGCATTCCAGAAAGCTGATTTCAGCTTATTAACTTTTCCTGGCTTTTCTTTCTCACACAGAATCCCAGAAACACTCAGTGTCACAGCAAAGATGTTCGTACCCTTCTGAAGCCCAGTAAAAAGATGTTCCAGATCACTGCAAACGTGGGAGCTGCGGGTGATCCAAGGGCATCCATGGGCAGCTACTCTCAGGCCTATGGAACCATCAGTAAATCTGCACTGCAGAGCCTTCCAATAGCAAAGGTCCCCAAAAGCCCTGAGCAGTGACAGTGGAGATGTTGCAGACAGGTGAAGTACAGCTTATCCCTCAGCCTTTGACTGAGCAAGGGCACCAGGGGAGAGCAAACTATGAGGAAATGCTTTATTCACTGCTTAGGACAATGTCCTCCTCTCCTCTGGACGAGCTCATAGGAAAGAGAATCCCACTCCTCTGCCTTCCAGTCTCAGCAGGCAAGGATACAGCAGGCATAGACACAACACACACTTTGTTTGAATTACTGCAAAAAACACAGAAAACTGCATTATTCTGATACTTGAGTGAGTTTTAGACATATTTGGGGTCCAGGGGAACCTCCTGAATTCAACAAAGCCAAGCACAAGACCAAGGAAATGCTCTGAAGGCTTGAGTCCTTCTGCTCTGGAGATAGGCTGGGAGAACTGGAAGTGTCCAGCCTGGAGGAGAGAAGGTTCCAGGAAGATCTCAGAGCCCCTTCCAATGCCTAAAGGGACTCCAGGAGAGCTGGAGGGAGACTTTGGACATGGGCCTGGAGTGACAGGACAAGGGGAACGGCTTCCCACTGCCAGAGGGCAGGGATGGATGCGGTGTTGGGAAGACATCCTTCCCTGTGAGGGTGGGGAGGCCCTGGCACAGGGTGCCCAGAGGAGCTGTGGCTGCCCCGTCCCTGGAAGTGTCCAAGGCCAGGCTGGACGGGGCCTGGAGCAACCTGGGACAGTGGAAGGTGTCCCTGCCACGGTAGGCAGGGGTTGGGACTGGGTGACCTTTAAAAAGTCCTTTCCAACCCACTTCAGGATTCTTCAGCAGTCTGCCTAAATTGTGGATATTTTTTTGAGCAGAACAGGTAACTGTTCTCTGAAGACCATGAAGACCTAACTCTCCAGAGATAATCTTACAGCCTTTCACTCATTTCGATGACTGTTCTAGGCTAGATGAATAGAATTCATTATAGTCTGGTTTTGTTAAAATGAAGTAGAAAAACATTTGAAATACAGGTGGGTTCTTCTACAATATTTAACAGGTTCTCTAGTATGTAATATTGGGATAATATTGTAAAAATAAATCCTTTATATTGCACTGCAGAAAATTTTTGTCTTTCAAGCAGCATTTGCTGTGTTGAGAGGGAAACGGGCTATTGGTAGGGCTGTCTTCTTCAATGAATAATTCGTCATTTTTACTGGTTTTGCTTTCAGAAGGCAAAGTTTCATGAGATACTGTTGCTGAGACATCATAAAGGTGTTGCCAGTCTAGAGTGGAACTACAGGAAACTTTATGCTCCTGTTTCAGTGGTGATTTTGGATACATTTTCCTCATTAACTTGAAGCTCTTGTCTCTGTCCCTGAGGTTTTACTCTACCTGTGATGAATGATTGTTATTCCCCCCAGTTCTCTCAGCTGTTCCAGACCTGTCACCTCATGAACCTCATGAACTTAAAACTCTCAAGGAAGTCACTGCTTGGCAAAGGCAGGACTTTAGATGCTTATTTAAACTCAGACTCACCTGAAAAGGCCTCCTAAAGCCAAGCCCTTCTCCATCAATAGCACCTCAGCAGCTTCTTTGAGCTCAGCCCCTAAAGCGCGTAATTCCCTTTACACACGGGAACAAACCAGACTCCGCAGGCTCAGGAACTGGTAAATACAATAGCTGGAGCTGTGCTGCTGGAGAAGATCAGAACCACAGATTAGGCCAAAACATTGATTACAGCTATTTTTTTTTTGGTATGTAAACCTTCAAAAAGGTGCCTCCTCTGTCTGATTCATTGTGAGATACAGAAAAAGTTTAACTGCACCTGAGAAACCACTGAGCTTTAAGTACTTTTTCCAATTACCTGTGTGTGTGTGTGTCTGTATGTATTTATCTTTTCTGTCCCAAACTCAAATATTCAATTTTCTGATTTTCATTTTTTTTCCGAAATTTGAATGATTTTGTCTGATGAAAATATTCCCTGGGTTTAACAGAGGCTCTTAGTTTTGTACAGTAATGGAGAGTTGTTTTTTAAGCACGTTGGCATTTTAATTGTTTTATTTGTAACATACTGTGATAAGGTTGTTTGATACCACCTGACTTTATTGAGCAAACTGCCGTGGGAGGCTCATGCTGGATACATTTCTGCTCACTAATCAAGAAGAGCATTGCCATCATAGACAAGTTTCTTCCTCGTTTCCCTTTGACAGTCAGTGATTAAATGGAATTAAATAGGATTTCTAGGATCATTTTTTGGTCTTGAAGGTCCCCAGGATTTTCGGCATGAATTTTCCCATTTTCTTGTCTTTGGCATCTGTGTCATATTCCTCTTCACTGGGACTCGTGTGCTCGTCCTTCTTGCAGAACACCTCAAACCTGCTGTAGACTCGCTTCTCCTTCCGCATGTTCTCCATCTTCTTCAGGAGGGTGTCTCTGTCCTCTGACGGCTGCCGCTGCAGGTTCCGTTTCTGGCTCCCAAAACTCTCAGACCTGTGTATGTTGCAGCTTTTCTCCTTTTCCCCTTTTCTTTCCAAGCTTGTGGTCGACCTGGAGAGGTCAGGGTTGCTGGTGGATGGCAGCTGCTTGGCCAGCTCAGCTCTGTTCTTCTGGCTGTTGGCAGAGATCTGCTCCAGGATCACCTTGGTGTCATCACGCAGGTTGCTGCTGTACAGGATGTTGGCTGTGGAGGAAGGGAACCTCCCTTGCGTTGTCTGGTTGCTCTTGGGGGGGAGTGGTGCTGTGAATTTGTGGGGTTTTTCTTCCTCCATTGCTTCCTGGCAGTCCCCTGTGGATGATCGTTTGAGCACCACTGCCTGCTTGTCACATTTCCCACTCTCAGAAGCAGGTTCCTCCTCCAATTTCTTTTCACCTTTTGGGTTCAAAAGCTGCTTCAGCCGTAGTGACCCTTTTCTTAAAAACTCCATGGGATTTTGCTCTTGTTTTGAACAGTCTTCCTCAGATTTGTTGAGGGAGCTGTCAGACCCTGGACTTCTAGACAGGCTTTCTAGAACTGAGGATGTAGTACTTGTCCTCATCTGTGGTTTCTTCATTTCTGCATTGACTAATTTTGGAGAGTCTTCTCTGAAAGTCACTCTGTCCTTCTTCTCTGGAAGAGCCAATTTCTGAGTGTCTCCTACAAATATCAGGCTCTCCTTCTCTGGAATATGAGGTTTGTTCTCGATGGGGTAAAACCGGGATGACAGCTTGTCCACCTTGGTGCCAAGATGTGCCAGGGGATCTTTACTCAATGTGTCCCCAAGCTGGGGGGTGGATGAGGCCATTCCAAATGCTCTGTCCAACTCTCCATGCATTTTGTAAGTACTGCAGGAGTCTTTGGAGTCCAGCACCCTGCTCTCCAGGATCTTATACTGCACAGATTTGGTACATTTCTTCTCCGTATTCTGAGATTCCTCCTGTAGGTAACCCGAAACAGCTTTGGTGTGGGTGACTGTGCCCCGTTCCATGTCCTTGCCTACAGCTTTGTACTTCTCCAGCAGCTCAGCCACTTTGGAGGAGGCAGCTGTCTTGATGGTTTCATTGTCCTTTGTTAACTCACTGGACATTTGCTCTTTTTGGATCATCTGCACCTTTTCTATTGTGGTGTTGGGCTGATCTAATTTGGCAGCACTGAAAATCAGAGAGGACCTGAGCCTGGAGCTCCTCTGGATCAAGGGATTTATCCTGGACCTGAAGGCATCTGGTTTCATTATTGAGGTTTCTTCACCTGCTCTGTCAGGATCTGCAGATTCCTTGGCACTGTCAATTCCCAGTGGCTTGCTACTGAAAGGTGTGGGGGGTTTGAAGGCTGGGACAAGGTCAGTGGGGTGCTTTGTGAGGGGTTCCCCAAGAGCATCATTATATGCCTCGGACTCCATCGGCATCGGGAGCCCTTCATCTGGTTCAGACTGGTATGCGCTGAGGTATGAAGAAATCCTCCAGTTCCGTAACCCTGTTCTGTTTTCCTGCATGTTCTTGTCGTCATCCTGCTCTTCATCCTTGTCCTGTAGGAATAGGCGCTGCTCCAGGCTCTGCTTCTGCGTGGGAGAAGTTTGGCAAATGAATTTCTGTCCTATGTTCTGCCTCCGTAACATCATTCCCATGGGGCTGTTGCCCGCAGGGTTCAGCTGGTCAGAGCCGTGTCTCACCTCCCTGGAAGAATTTGAAGGCACATAATCCAGCCGTAGGGGGAAACCCTCCTGTGGGAAACTGGACTCCAGTTCAGGGTATCGGGGTCCCTCTCCATAGTCTTCCAGTTCATTGAATCCCGGCCTCCCCCCTCGAATTCTCTCAAAGAATCCCTGAGGTCTGCCAGGAAGATGGGGATGTTCAAACTGGTACTGGTAGAACTGGTCCTTCTGGAAATGACTGGATTGGATTTTGAACTCGTCCATGTTGTTCATGAACATCTGCCGGGTGTACTGCTTGGCAGAAGCAAAATTTTCAAACGTTCCTTCTGCAAAACTGTGTCTCTTAAAAGCATCCAGCTCCAGCTGCTTGGAACGGAGGAAGCCCCTGACTGGATCCATCTGGGAATTTTCCATTTCCACCTTTTTGTACATCCGCATGGCTGACCCCTCCACAGTGTGTCGCAGCATGTCGTCCCGCCGGAAATTGGACAGGAAGTACCTGTCCGAATCCACCCTGTCCATGAAGGAGGGGAAGAGACTCTCATCCCTCTGGAACATCAGGGGGCCTTTTTTGGGGAAGAAAGGCATGTTATTGCCAAAGGGAGCCATGGCAAACGTGTTCTCTGCCTTTGCCAAGACGTTGGCTGGAGGAACGAGAGGTTCCGACTGTGCAAACAAAATGCGGAATTCTTCATCAAAGCTGGCCACCAGCTCACCCTGGAAGATGTGTGCAATGCTCCTGTGAATCTTCTCAAAGGACCACATGAAACTGAAGAGAGAACAGAAGTAATGGATTAACTCAGCTGTACCTATTTTCATTAAAACATTTGCTTAACTGAAGCAAAGTCTAAATTTTCTGGTTGGGCATAAATAGGGCAAAAGACTAGGGGCAGACAATTGCCCTGCAGCTACGTGATACACAAGACTGTTCCCAAACCTGACAGCTTGATTGATTGTGATCACATCTTTGCAGAGAGTTTTACAAGCCAATAACTGATTTCTGTTCTAAAAAGCCAATCAGTCATGTCACCCAGAGTGAGCTGATGATAATCCTTGTGTGAAGCAGATGTTCCTGTCTTTAGCACTGTCAGTAATGACCTAAGCAACAGTCAGCATGTCCCCTCAGCACCTGGCAGGTGACACCAGTCAGGGGGACCCCAAAGGCTGGCAGATGTGCCAACAGGAACCTCCAAAAAGACAAACCCAAGATCTTATTCCTGGGATGGCACAGCTCTTCCACCCACACAGTTTGAGGGGACTGAACAGAAGGAGCTGAACTGGAAAAGGGGGAGGAATATGGCGTTCATCTTCCCAAGTCAGGCTCTGCCTTTTCTTCCCCATCTGCTGAATGATGGAGAGCAGGGAAGGGATCCCTTACTTTGCCTAGTCTGTGTGTGCAGGTTTGCTGCAGCTGTTACAACTGTATCACAACCCAGGAGTGTTCTCACCTTTACAGTTCCCTACCACATCCCTGGGAATCATGAGGGATACCTTTGTGAGGCTTGGCTGCCTGCTGGGCTTAATCAAAACCCTTAGAATTACTGTCTTTTTTTTTTTTTTCCCACACGACAGATTTTTTAATTCTTAATGTGAAGGAAGCTTGGTTTGGGGTTGTCTGGGCTCAAGGCCTTCTTCCATTGGTGCATCTACCACCACTACAAAATGGAGTATTTTTCCCAAAAAATTGCTACTCAGTGTCCTTCAGTGAGCAAAACTTTTGTCCCTGATATCCATGAGGAAATGCCAAAATGCTGCTTTACCAATTCAGCAGTCTCTCACAATCCCAGACTGGTTTGGGTTGGAAGGAACCACCACACCTTGTTTCACCCCCTGCCACGTGCAGGGACACCTTCCACTAGCTCAGGCTGCTCCAAGCCTCATTAAGCCTCATCCTGAACACTTCCACAACTTCCTACTTCAGAAATGATACAATATTGGAAAGCCCAAAGCACATGGGAGTGTGGCAGAAGCAGTCCTGAACAATTTACTTGATGCTCTCATAAACAAGAAATTATCCAATCAGAACAGTGGGTTGTTTGGTACAGCATCATATGTAATTATTTTCAAACATCAGGAAAAAAAAACCAAAGTGAAATCTTATTATCATGGAATGTGCACTTTAGTCAGATTCTTACAATTTTTTTCTGGATGGGGCTTGGAGCAGCCTGGGATAGTGGAAGGTGTCCCTGCCCATGTGGGGCTGTGGGGGTGGAACAAGATGAGCTTTAACGTCCCTTTACACACAAACCATGCTGTGATTTGATTATTCTGTGAGTGGAGGTCAAAGTTCATTTGGTCCAGTCTAAGATGCAAATCCTATACTCCTTATGCTATGGCAAATTCTCCCTGGAATGTATCAGATGGGAGCTGAGCTCCTCTGCAGCCAGCCCCATGCACAAAGCACCTGAATCTCTCTCTCTCTGAGCTGGACGGGGCTCCTCACCTGTAGTTGCCACTCAGCACCACCATGCAGTCCACCAGCAGGAACTTCTCCTTCAGGTGCCCCTTGAAGGACATCCCCGTGCGGCAGTAGTAGGTTGGGCCAGACACTGTCCTCACCCTCAGGAACTGCAAACCAGAAAGGCACCAACTCAGGTGGGACCCTCATTCCCTTCCTGCCCCTCTTTCCCTGCCTCCTTTTAACCTCCATCCACCCCTGACTGAGATTATCCAGTTCCAGTGGTTCTGCCTGCAGACACACCAATGTACAAACCCCTTTCTCTGCACATCTCCAGCCCTCACCCTGTGTCGCGCCAGCTCTCCTCACTTTCTTCACACTCATCTGTCACCAGGGTACTGCCCGTTCTCCCCTTTCTCAGGTGTTTCCTGCCATACTGGCCCTCTGTGTGGCAGGACACATCCCCTCAGGACACCAATCAGATGGGACAGGTCTTTGCTCACCTCCACATAGTTCAGGTTGACTCTGCACTTGGCAGCTGTGTCGAGGAAGAGCTGGGAGTTCATTTCATCCAGCAGGATGTAGACAGGCACGCGGCGAGAAGCAGCATCCAGCACCTCAAACAGCAGATCCACATCAGTGAAAACATCCATCACGATGGCCACCACCTGGGGAAGGGATGCAGGACACATGAGCCACTGTGCTGCCTCGTGCCCTGACCAACCGTGTATCCCAGCTTCTCACACCCCAAAGCTGCAGGGTCTCCATCTCAGCTTCCATTTGAAGCAGGAAACATCCCAGTTAAAAGTCCCATTAAGCACTGTGGGCCCCAAACTGGAAGGAGAATTTCTGTCCACGAAGGTGCATGTTCTGTGTATTCAGGTGAGGGGAAACCTCCATGTGGTGTGTTTCCCAACTCATCAATCCAGTAATTCCACGATTTTTTTGGCCATGTAATCACACTGGATGGCGTATGGAGCTGGTCACCCCACTCCAACATCCCAGTGCTATTTTTAGGTAACTTCCTGGCCAGCATTCAGGCAGCCACTACGCAGCTGCATCCATGTGCTGATTTTATGGGAAGCAGCTTCATAGGTCTATCTTCCCATTCTTCCCAGCTCCCTGAGTGTAAATCCTTGATGGAAAGGGCAAAAGGAAGGAGTAAAACGCTTCTCAGTGTTGCCAGGGAGAGAACAGGACACAAACTGAAACACAGGAAATTACAATTAGGTTACAGAAAAGCCTCTGGGACTCTAAAGAGACCATCAACATGGGAACAGACTGTCCAGAAAGGTTTAGTCTTCACCCTTGGAGATGCTCAAGGACACATCCTGAGTGACCCTCTCTAAATGACCTCCTCTGAGCAGGGAGGTGAACAGGACCAGCTCCAGAGGCCCCTTCCAATCTCTAATGTTTTGGGATTCTGTGAACTCTTGGTGTATTTTAGCATGGCCTAGGACATGGTGCCATGACAGCAGAGCAGCAACAAGCTTTGGTGCAGTCAGTGGTGGATTTGAATCATCCTGCTCCTCTGTCAGGTTCTGGAAGCAAAGTTAAAGGAATTAGCAGAGGACCTAATGTTGCTCAGCCTGGAGAAGAGAAGGCTCCAGGAAAACTTTACAGCCCCTTCCAGCGCCTAAAGTGGCACTGAGAGCTCAGGAGGAAGTTTGGACAAGGGCCTGGAGTGACAAAACAAGGGGAGTGGCTTTACACTGCCAGAGGGCAGTTAGATGAGCTATTGGGAAGAAATTGTTCCTTGTGAGGGGGATAAGACCCTGGTACAGTGTGCCCTGAGCAGCTCTGGCTGCACCATACCTGAAAGTGTCCAAGAACAGTTTGGACAAGGCTTGGAGCAATCTGGGCTAGTGGAAGGTGTCCATCCCCATGGCAGGGGGGTGGAAATGGATGAGCTTTAAGGTCCCTCTGACCCAAACGACGGCACTATGATTCCCTATCCTGATGCTTCTCTGGCACACGTGTGATTTTACCTCTGCTCGAGCTGGGCTCTCCCTGCCTCACCTGCTGAGCTGCTCGAATCATCCTGCGAGCCTCCTCCTTGATGCTGGGGTTGTCTGGTGGGGGTGGCTGCACCAGTGTCGTCACCTCTGTTCCCCTGAAGCCAAAGACCATCGGCCAGCCCAGGTCAAGCTCAGGAACGGCCAGATCTGAGTTCATGGGCCAGTAAGTCCCAGAGGATCCATCCATATCATTGTCCCCCGCTGTGTCCGTGCTGCCCTCCTGGTTGGCATATTGGGGCTTCTGGAGGTTCTGGATTATGTGATCCACCTCGGAGCCACAGAGGAAATCGGGGGCCGCCTCCTCGGCCAGGAAGCGCTGGTAACTCTCCTTGCCCTCCTCTGTGAGCACATCCAGGGCCAGGCGGTAGTACTCCTTGTAGTGGGGGGGAAGGTAGTTGGGGTCCAGGGGATTGTCCCCCTGTGAGGAGCTTTGGGATCGACGAGCCATCAGGGGAGGGAGAGCTGCAGGGAAATAAAAAACATCTGTTTTTTATATTCAGATACAGCAGTGGCATGACAGCAACACATTCAACACAGCCTCCTCAGAAAGCAAAGGTAGAGGTTAAAAGAACATGGAGCAATGCCGGAGAAAGTTCAATCCAAAGGCATGAGAGCCTAAAATTAGGCAAAGGTGTGAGTCACTTAACCATTACCTTCACACAGTTAACTGTTTTGGGCCAAAATACAGTACAAATCAGCCAAGCAGCTCTGGGATAAGTAAGGCCAATGCATCCAACAGAATGATCAACTTTCTCTTTTAGGCTGCTGGTTCATAAGCTTCAATTTATTGTTTGTTTAAAAGTCAAGAGCAAAGCTGTAGATGGCTATTATCTACACCCCATTAAAATTAATTTCCAAATGCTACAGAATTTATTTACTATGTGTAATGTGGCCCTAAACCAAAAGCACCTGCCTGAACACAAGGGTACCCTCTGGACCCTTACGGCTTGGGTATTGTCAGCACCTCAGGATGTGAACAGAAGCAGGTAGTGCGCAGGTGCAGGGGTGTTCTGCTGGTGTAACACAGTCAGAAGGCAGAAGAATCTCCATGAGATGAATGAAGAAATAAAAGACAAGGGATGTGATCACTTCTTCAGTCTCCTCATGTTAAGAAAAAACAGCTGAAAGGAGCTCAAACACAATATTTGGTAATTGTCTATAGGGGACAATTTTTGGAGACTATAGACAAATCTGATTTAACCCATTTTTGGAAGAAAAGTTTGCTGTGCCACAACAGCAGTATCTGATTGATCCACAGAATGCTCAAAGCACTTTGGCTTTAGACTCTGAATTAATGTCAGTGCTGGAATGTTCTTTTCCTGCAGCCCACCACTGAGGTACCAGCAGAGACTTCCTCCTGATCTCCAAAAGAGTAACTCCTGCTGAGTGACGTTACTGAGTGAGCACAGGAGGTGAGGGTCGCTGCTGTTGTTGCCATCCAACACATCTGCTCCCAAAACGGGAGGGATTGCCATGGACTAGGAGAAGATAAAGACCTCACACTCATATTATCACTCATTAGAAGCTGTAAGGACAAACCAGTTTCAAGTTCTTATCCAACCACCTGCCCAGTACACAGCAGTGCTCTGTTACTCCTGCCTCAATCTCCCACAGATTACTCCTGCTCCAAAGTGGAACTGATGGTAAAGCTGTGTGATACAACAGAAAAAATTACAGTCTTAATGTAAGGATAAGAAAATCCAATAGATAATAAATCCTCTCTATAGTTCTCACATACAGCTGCGTATACAGCCTGAATTATCTGCATTTATCTTCCCTCTCTAATTCTGTCTTTTTTTCTCTGTGTAAGAGAAGAAAGTACAGAGCACTCCAGTATGTATCTTTGGTGGAAGGTGCCCCTGCCCATTGCAGGAGCATGGAACAATAGGGGCTTTATGTTTCCTTCCCACCCAGACCATCCTGGGATTCTGTGATTTTAGGATGCTCAAGTCACCAATGTTCCTGCTCTTAACTATTTCAGCAGTGTCATTTTAAGGACTTGCTCCCACGTTCCTTTAATTTTGGACAGAAGAACAACATATACAACTCATTCATATATGACCCAGGAAGGGGACAGAGGTCCCACAGCAAACTGCTCACAGTGTTCAAAGATGGGAGTGTGAGAGACAAAGGATCAAGTGCAGCATTAAAAGGAGGTAGTATCAGAAGAACCCTGTGGTACTGCTGGGCAATCAAATCAAAAAAGCGGAGGAAAGGTCATGCTGGTGAAGTGACAAAGCAATTTTATACTGATTAATAGAATTCTTTCACTACAGTTATAAATGAAGAAGACTGAGCTTTAAATAAACATCAGGCAATACTGACTGCTTTGCTCCCAGTGTTTACAGTGAGGAGTCACTTGAGTTCCCCATGTGGTACTGAGTACATTTGTGAATAAGCAGGGAAAATGGCACCAGCGAAGAAGTGAATTTGATGTGAAAGCAAACTGCTCCTCGTGCGTTTCCCTGAGACACCAGAAGAACACAGACACGGAGCTAGGGCTGTCCTGGTATCACTGAACCCAGCAGTGGGGGTGGGCTGCTGGCCTGGATGACCAGGAGGAGCCTGCAGGGGATGTCTGGAAGGGGTCTGGAAAAAACCCATGGCTCACAACTGTGAAATATAAACCACAAGTTGTGTTTGTGCCCCCACAGGCATCTGCCCCAGTTCTTCACGTGTTCCATAGCTTGAAGCCACCTGGTCTGCTGGAAGGCGTCCTTGCCCAGGGCACAGGGTGAAACAAGATGAGTCCATTCCGACCCAAACTATCTTGTGCTTCCATGATTCCATTAAGTGTTGGCATCCTTTAATTCCTTGGGTTGTGACAAGAACAATACCATGTTGATGAATTCTCAGTTTGCATGAAAAATGCTTGTTTATATGTATAAGTGAGTATCTAAGTAAATAAATAAATAGCTATACACACACACATAAATATATATACACACATGCACCAAGTTCTGGATACTTCATTTATCTTCCAAAATCCTTCCCTGTCCAAAATCCTTCATTTATCTTCCAAAACCCTTCCCTAAAGCAGAAGAGAAGAAATTACCTGGAACCCCAAAGGATATTTATGACCTTTTGTCACTTTGGTGGGTGTGAACTGAGTTCAGGTCAAGGAATAAATAAAATTTCTCCTGCTCCATCTTGCTGACTTCAGATGGATTCTGCAGTTAGTTAATGGATTTTTATAATTCTGTTTTGCTCTGTTCCAGCCTTTGGGATGACCTATTTGCAGCTGGCAGAGCTCTGAGGCCCTGGGTCAGATTTGGTGCCATGAAGCTGCTGACTGCCAGGCCAGTTCGCCAGTTCTGGATCAAACCATCCACTATTTGGAAAGCAATTCCTCTCCAAATCAGATGTAAGCAATCACATACCAGTTCTGACTGAAACCTCCCTCTGGCATACAAATATCAAAGACAGAACTGGCTTTTAAACTCCTGTCTTTTCACTTCTCTCTTAACTGGTCTTCCTCCATTCCAAGTATGTCCATTATCCCAGTGAAAGGCTGGATTCGGTGGAGGAGCAGTTCCCATGCCTCAGGAAATAGGAGATAGATTACTTACTGTGCCACACTGCCCTGCTATTTTTTTTTACTCCAGAACTGTGTATTCCATGTATTTTGTAGGGCATTCCATATTTTAAGCCTTGGTTCTGGTTTTAACCAGAGTTCAGGGAGCACGACAGGTTTCCCCTCAGAGGGACAGGAGCCTGGACACACATCAGTTATTAGAATTATCAGCTCTCTTCCCTGAGGGCTGGATTGTCCTTGATCAGGGGCACCTCAAACAACCTGCAGGAGACTGAGAGGAGACCTCAGTGCACTCCACAACTTCCTCATGAAAGGAAGAGGAGGAGCAGATACCAATATCCTCTCTGGGGTGACCAGTGACAGGACCCGAGGGAGCAGCTGCAGCTGGATTAGGGGAGGATTAGGTTGGGAATTTAAAAAAGGCTTTTCCCCCAGAGGGTGACTGGACACTGAACAGGCTCCCTGGCAGAGTTCAGAACATTTGGACAACACTCTCAGGCACAGGGTGGGACTCCTGGGGATGGTCCTGCTCAGGGCCAGCAGCTGGACTCAATGTGTGGCCTCTTCCAGCTCAGCCTACTCTGTGATCCTGTGACTCCAAGCAGGGGTTGGCTCCCTGTTTGAACTTCACCTGCAAATCTATTTCCTGCAGCTTCTTTCACCCCAGAAAAAGATAAACGTTGTATTTCTGGAATTCTGAACGACCAAAGCTGTCAAGGAATGTAAGCAACAAACTGAAAATACCCCAAATGTAGGTTTTCAGCCTGTAACTACTGATTAATAGAGAATTTTACTTACTTACATGCTTGTATATTTTATTTAATTAGAAATTTCATTTTATTTTAATTGCTGGTCACAGTTTACAAAATCTCCTGACATGAGTAATGAGGGTTTGGGGGAGAAATGAGAATGCTAAAAAGAATAAAGTGTGGCAATTTGCTTGGGGGGGGGGTATCTTTATAATGGGTAACAAAATATCTTTTTATAATGGGTAACTGTGTGCAGTTACAGCTCAGGCACTGAACAGTCAGCAGGTACAGGAAGAGAGGAGCTCATGCCAACCCAGCACCTGCAGCTCTGAGCAGCTGTGTGATGTGTTCAGCCAGAAGGAAGCCTGAACATCCCTCCTTCCATTCCCATGACAATATTGGAAAACTAAGGCCCTGAAGTCTCCTAGTCCAAAAACCCTGCAGTGCACCTCCAGAAGGGAAGAGGAAAGTTCAAGCACATCACCAATGTCCTCCACACCTTCAATAGCCACAATTTTACCAGGAAAGGTTTCCCAGGAAGAGTGGGAGAGAACTGCCCCAGCACTAGACATGAAAGGAAACGAATCCTGCTACATCCTGACAATATGGCCTGGGAAAAAATTCCAGCAATTCTTTGAAGCTGGATGTTTTGAGCAGAAAACACTGATACAGGAACTGAGAGATTCTTCAGATCACTGAGCAGACTGACAACATCCCTACTGATCCTGCAGCCAAGCCCCTGCTGCTTCAAGGAAAGAAAAAAATCCAGAATGTAAATTAGGCAGCAAAGGAGGAAATCTACTTCTCCCCATCACCGAGCCCTTAGGCCTTGGGAAAGTCTCTATAAATGAACTGCAAACAAACCATAGCCAGGGCAGCAATTGAGGTGCTCATACACAGGCTCTTCATGTCACCCGGCATGCCTGAAGGTACTTGGCCTGGCCTCCAGCTGCTGCCAAGGAGGCTGTGGGTCTCTGCACGGCAGGTGTCATACTTGCCAAGCTTTCAATGCCCAAAGGCACCTGGAATATCCCAAAACCCCCAGGTTTCAGAACCAGGATTACTCCTCCACGATCAGTGACCAAATGCATATGTACAGTGTGCCTATCTGCACCCCCTTACAAGTGATGGAAAACAATAATATCCAAGAAATATGGGATAGGATTCATTACAGAC